ACCTACTGACTACCAGTTATGCACAGCGTTCTAACTTTGACAGTGTATTCAAAAACTAACATAGCTATCCTTATTAGCTAGGCTCCTTACATGCTTGCTGATAACTTTTTTGAAGGTGGGTCTCCGACATTGACAACATTGTGTTGGATAGATTTGTGCTGCGGTGTTTAGGAAACTAACTATTCAATTGACAGACAGGTCTGTTGTCAATGTGTTTGCGAGCAACAACTTCCTAAATATAGATTTAGGACACATACAAACACTGGTCATGTATCATGATAATTAACAGCATTAAATCCATTGATTAAAAATGAAGAGATCTTGCAGCTGACCTTTGTATTCATTTTGTTTTTACTTTCACTTTTTGTGCTTTTAAAATACTCATTCTGCTGTCTACTGGGTAGTCTATCATTTTAGTAGTCTGAAGCTTGAAACAATTTAGGAATTTCACTAAAACTCAACCTTTGTATTTTGTTGAAAATAACTTTCTAACTAACACTCTGTAGTTAGTTTCTTCTCATAAGTATGATTAAATTTGCTTATTTATTTTTTTCTCACAAGTTGGAGTGTGATTATCGCTCCATGCTATCTAAGAGGGAACTTGTGTCATCATGTACAAGAGAACAGTGGACTCCTGTCGTTCCACACAGTACAAGTGTGGTCCCTTTTTCTGTAATTCAAATCAATAAATAAAATGCATTTCTGTAAGTGTAGACTAAGCACATAGATATGATGACAAAATGTATTGACATAAACTGGTCAGTTTAGTGTTTTAGGACTGAACAAGTTTAAAGCTGTAGTCAAAGTCTGATGTGAAATACTTTTTAACAATTAATTAAAACTGAATAGAAAGTATCTTACCTCTAATCATTTAATTTATAATTCAACTCTGGTTGTTTTTCTATTTTTGTTCCTTTTTTTGGAATCTAAAATCCATTTTACTCTCCAGGCCTTCAGTGTAGCCCTTTATTTTAATACATGTTGATCTTAAAACACAAGACATCCACTAAAACTCAGCCTTTATATTTTGTTTCAAAAGAATGTATAGAAAATAAAGAGACTATTTAGTTAGTTTATTTTGTCTCAAAAGTATGATTAAATTTGCTTATTTATTATTTTCACACAAGTTGGAGTGTGATTATCGCTCCATGCTATCTAAGAGGGAACTTGTGTCATCATCTACAAGCGAATAGTGGACTCCTGTCGTTCCACACAGTACAAGTGTGGTCCCTTTTTCTGTAATTCAAATCAATAAATGAAATGCATATCTTTAAGTGTAGACTAAGCACACAAATATAATGAAATTTTTTTTATTGATGTCCAGTGCTTGTGAAAGCTGGCCAGGTTAGTATTTTGGGACAGAACAAGTTTAAAGCTCTAGATGTCAAATGTCAAATATTTTTTATTAATTAATACATTTTTTTTATAATGAATTAAAACCGTAAAGAAAGTATCTTTATACTGACCATTTTATTTCTAATTCTACCCTGGTTGTTTTTCTATTTTTGTTCTGGTTTTTAGAATCTACAATTCATTTTACTCTCCTGGCCTTCAGTGTAGCCCTTTATTTTAATACATGTTGATCTTAAAACACAAGACATCCACTAAAACTCAGCCTTTATATTTTGTTTTAAAAGAATGTATAGAAAATAAAGAGACTATTTAGTTAGTTTATTTTGTCTCAAAAGTGTGATTAAATTAGCTTATTTATTATTTTCACACAAGTTGGAGTGTGATTATCGCTCCATGCTATCTAAGAGGGAACTTGTGTCATCATCTACAAGCGAACAGTGGACTCCTGTCGTTCCACACAGTACAAGTGTGGTCCCTTTTTCTGTAATTCAAATCAATAAATGAAATGCATATCTTTAAGTGTAGACTAAGCACACAAATATAATGGGGGGGAAAAAAGTATTGATGTCCAGTGCTTGTGAAATCTAGTCAGGTTAGTATTTTGCGACTGAACAAGTTAAAATCTCTAGATAACAAATGTCAAATAATTTTTTATTAATTCATTCATTTTTTATAATGAATTAAAACCATAAAAGTATCTTTATACTGACCATTTTATTTATAATTCTACCCTGGCTGTTTTTCTATTTTTGTTCCCTTATTTAGAATCTAAAATTCGTTTTACTCTCCAGGCCTTCAGTGTAGCCCTGTATTTTAATACATGTTGATCTTAAAACACAAGACATCCACTAAAACTCAGCCTGTATATTTTGTTAGAAAAAATTAAGAAATTGTGTTTCAAGTGACAGCTTTCTTTACTGAGTAGCTTGTATAATAGCCCCTCTACAGTCTGATAGACTCCCTGGGGCTGCAAGCCATTCACTCTATAGGGGAGTGTTAAGAACGACGTGTGTGAATGAGTCGTTAAAATCTTTGCTTGATCCACTAGAGGCACTGCTGAGTATGGACTTAAACACTCACACACCTGCAGGTCCCCTCTTGACAATAGTTTAAAAAATTTACCAGATGGTTTTAGACATGATTTTAGCATGATTTAAAGCATGTCCAACAGGGGACCTAAAAAATGTCCCCTGTTCACTTTTTAGTCCCCTCTTAGTGGGTGTGTAACGACGTCGAGGTCCACTGTTAGATAGGTTGGTAAGTGCACTAACACACACACACACTAACACACACACACTCTGCTAACACACACTAACACACACACACACTAACACACACACACACACACACACACTAACACACACACTAACACACACACACACACACACACTAACACACACTAACACACACACACACTAACACACACACACACACACACACACTAACACACACACACACACACACACACACACACTAACACACACACACACTACACACACTAACACACACACACACTAACACACACACACACACTAACACACACACTAACACACACTAACACACACTAACACACACACACACACACACACTAACACACACTAACACACACTAACACACACACACACACACACACACACACTAACACACACACACACTCTCTGCAGCAGCTGTCTTCATGCCAGATGAAGCAATTAGCAGCTGCTGAGGAAAGAAATAAATTCTAACACACACACAGGTTTGTGTGACTATCTTTGTGGGGACATAATAACATAACGCGTTCCCTGGCCCCTTCACCATCACAACTACAAACCCAACCTGAACCCGAAAACCAGGTCTTCACCCTCAAACAGCCCTTTAAACTTGTACTTTGCATTTATGGTCCCCACAAGTATAGTGGATTCCCATTTTTTGGCCCCCACGAATACAGTAAAACAAGCCTGCACACACACACACACACACACACACACACACACACACACACAGGATGTTAAACCTTAATAATTAAGACTGTTATTTTGGTTTGTTTTGTTCCTCATTTCTATTTGTGAGCACAATGACATCACTGTGACATCACTAAAATGTAGTTTGACTCGTTGAGAAACGAAATAATTCGATCGAAATGACCCTTTAACCTACACGTTATATTGATTAACATGTTATCTGGACGCTGGGATCAGTGATACTCAGCTGCTGGTTCCTTTTTTTTCATATACTGTTTAGACTATCAGGCAACGCCTTGCTGAACTGAACAGATTTCGGCGGGACGTTCATGTAATACAGTAAACAAGCCAAGTTAGCCCTCTGAGCTAATGCGTGCTAACGACAGATCAGAAATGTGCTGCAACACTTGAGATTTCTGCCCGATCACAGGTGTTTTTACAGCAGAGTACAGGGCAGGTAGATAAAAGATATTTCAACTTTATTCTGGACATTCTGAAAAACACAGCGTCTGTACTTCTGCGTCGAAACTACGCTGCCGTCTGATGCTCACAAATGTAACTGCACGTGGCAGCGACGACCCCTTTATTTAGTTCTTTTACTGTTTTTTTATTGGTTATGAGCAGGTGACCCACAGGTTCTTAAAATCAGGAGAAGACTTAAAAAAAAAGACAAACAGGATCAAATGAATCTGAGTTTATTTCAATAAAAGGTGAATAAAAACAAGTGAAAGGGAGGGTGTTCCTATAAAACATTTAGTCAAAGATTTTAGTCAAAATAGTTACTGTTTTAAGCTCGTGGGTGAAGCTGCTCACCTCAGCAGGGACTCATCTGCACTTCACTCAGTCCTGCCGCCATCAGTTCAAAAGAAACTCATAGATAATCCAACATGTGCTCGTCCCCCCTCCTCACTCTGTTTTACACTGTTAAGCCCCTTTTCCACTGCACAGTACCAGCTCGACTCGCCTTTGTGGAAAAGTTGTACCTGCTTCCAGGTACTTTTCTTCGTATCACCCCCGTCGAGGTTCCAAGCGAGCTGAGGCGATCTTAAAACATGACGTGAAAACACAGCAGTCTGCTGATTGGTCAAAGAGAATCGTCATTATTCACTGCATCATCATTATATTATATTATATTTTACAATTTTCACATGTTATTTCATCGCTAAATCCACTTCTGAGAAGTTTTGAGGTGAGAAATCAGCTGTGTAGATTTATAATATTGACAGTTTTACGAGAAGTGATGGCGGAACAAAAATGCGCGTGAATATTTTCGGAGTTGAGGAGCACCGCAAGTGGCGGCGGGGAAGCCTGCTGTGACAATGGAAAACAGAGCACGGCCAAACCGGCATTAGTCCACCATGCAGCTACTGATTGGTTGAGGTAGCTTCACTCTTGCTGAAGGTGCAGGCGATCTAAAATCAAGTCACAATCTGGGAGGAAGTGAGCGCGCAAGACAAGTCCAGCATGCAATAAAATCAGTTCAATTCACAGCAACAACAAAACAGCAGTGAATGAATGAATAAATATAGAAAAGCGTGCACGCACACTGCAAAAGTATGAAAACTTAAAAACAGCTGCTGAGCGACGCACAAGTGCAAATGCTGACGACGGCACGCTGCCTCGCCATTAAACTGTATTTATTGGTGTGTTTATTTTGTGTCTCCATGTTTATTGTGTATTTGTCTGTGTTTGTGGTTGCTGGTGTAGATCCTGGGTTACGCGGACTACGCCTTCACCTCCATCTTCACTGTGGAGATTCTGTTAAAGGTAAAAACCCTCCAGTCAGGATGAAACAGCTTGAGACAGATTGTTGTTCTTTCTCTTCTTCTCTTGGTGTAACGCTGGCGTCGTCTCTTCTTCTCTTGGTTTGACGTCAGATGACGGTCCACGGAGCGTTCCTCCACCAGGGCTCCTTCTGCAGGAACTGGTTTAACTTGTTGGATCTGCTGGTCGTCAGCGTCTCGCTGGTCTCCTTCTTCCTTCAGTCAGTATCATGATTCATTTTACACCACCAGCACACAGAGACAACAACACTAGCTAACATTAGCAGCCACGCCAAACAGGAAGTATCCTTCAGGCTGCTTAAGGTGCAGATTGGGGGAATATAGATATTCAAGAATGGAGGGAAAAGACAGAAATAAAGTTTTCAAAAGAACAAAAGGAAAGTTGGCAAACAACACAAAAACAAACACGTCGCTGTTTGGAAACCAGCACTTGCTGCAAGGAAGGTTGCAGCTCAGCGGTCAGTCAGTTCATCCGTTCATTCAATATTTCTATGAAAAGACAGTGTTTAAACCTTATTTCCAGCGTCCTAAACAGAAAGATTTACACCATCTTTAGTTAATATTTACATTTTAACAGCTAATGTTGCCTCCAAAGCACTTCAGACGACTCAGAAAATGCACATTAGACCAAACACTGGCAACAACTCTCACTCATAAGCAGTGTTGGGCAAGTTACGGTATGATGAAATAACATCAATCGGCTCCTGACTGTTTGCTGGTGTTACAGGTAGATCCACAGGGGCTTCTGGTTTTAAGCTGCTCAGTGTGTTGGATCGTCTGATCAGAGTCTACTGGAGTCTTTAAAAAACAGGTTTAAACAAGAAGAGCTGCATGTATTTAATATTTTATAAAACATTTATACTGTTTCAGGTCTTTTCAGCCTATAATGATAAATTATTAGTTGTTTTCTTATTAAGTTGTAATCCTTAGTCTTTCTGTTCCTTCCTGAGTTCATTTAATTGAATCTGTATGAAAAATCAACCAGCAGAGACTTTAAATTTAAACTCTTTGAATGCTTTCCGGTGCTGTTTGCCTGAGCTACAGGGATTCAGTTATTTCTGTGATAAATCAGAATCAGCTTTTTTTGCCAGGTGTGTGTACACACAGGAGGAATTTGACTCTGGATCAATCATTTCTCACGATGTGCTTGCTGATCAGCGGGGATGAAAAAATGTTTATCAGCTGTGTGTGGGTGCTGCCCTCTGCTGGGAGAAACGACAACATAACTAACTGTGCATTGCAATGCAAACAGCAGACTGACCGCTGCGTGTTTGTGCCTGTAGCTCCAGCGCCATCTCGGTGGTGAAGATCCTCAGAGTCCTCCGGGTGCTCAGACCTCTGAGGGCCATCAACAGAGCCAAAGGACTCAAGGTAACACCTGTGTGTATTTAAAGCCTGGAGCTGGACCACAGAGTTACAGGAAGGTGGATCCTGGTGCTGCTCCTTTAATACTTAATAGAATCTGGTCACTGATGGCAGACAGAACCTGCAGGCATCTCATTTTCAAATGTGTGTTTATTTTAGGGCTGTAGCTGCTAATGAGGACGCTGAGGTCTGAGTATGGGGGGTTTGGACATCCTGGGATAGTTTACAGTGCATGTACATATATGCTGTGTGTTCAGGATGACTTACACTTTACACAACGTCCAAAAAATCCACTTAGAAATCAGAGAAAAAAGACGCAGCAGAATTTGCCTGAGAGATAGTTTCCTACACTGTTATATTTACTGTGATATTTGTTAAAGTATACAGTTTTTGTTTTACAATTAAAACAATTAAACGCATACAGGTCTTCATACTGGGAAATCTGATTACATGCAATTTAGTTCCACAGTAAACTGAGTAAATAAAATAAAAATAAACTTATGTACTGAAAGAAACACACCTTCCCTTGTTTACCACGACCAAAGAATTGTCGTAGATATTAACCAGCACTTAGTCAGGACCAGCATTTAGGTACAACACTTAGTCAAGGCCAACTTCAATCACACTATTAAACATGTCTGATGTCAGATGTGTTCGTTAGAAACATCATCTGCAGTGTTATATACACTCAAAGTGTGTGTGTGTGTGTGTTGCAGCATGTGGTCCAGTGTGTGTTTGTGGCCATCAGGACGATCGGAAACATCATGATCGTCACGACTCTGCTGCAGTTCATGTTCGCCTGCATTGGAGTCCAACTGTTCAAGGTGAGACTGAACAAGAAACCAACTTTCACTGGTTTGAAGTTTATACTTTTTTTTTTTTCTCCCTGAACAAAATGAATAAACTGTGAGCGGTGATAAAGCTCACACATCCACACTGTCATTTTATCACTGTGTCACTCTTTCACTGTGTAAGTGTATCACTCTTTCACTGTCGATGTGTCGCTCTTTCACTGTGTCGCTGTATCACTCTTTCACTGTGTCGCTGTATCGCTCTTTCACTGTGTAAGTGTATCACTCTTTCACTGTGTCGCTGTATCACTCTTTCACTGTGTAAGTGTATCGCTCTTTCACTGTCGATGTGTCGCTCTTTCACTGTGTCGCTGTATCACTCTTTCACTGTGTCGCTGTATCGCTCTTTCACTGTGTAAGTGTATCACTCTTTCACTGTGTCGCTGTATCACTCTTTCACTGTGTAAGTGTATCACTCTTTCACTGTGTTGCTGTATCGCTCTTTCACTGTGTCGCTGTATCGCTCTTTCACTGTGTCGCTGTATCACTCTTTCACTGTGTCGCTGTATCGATCTTTCACTGTCACTTTTTCACTGTATCAGTCTTTCACTGTCACTTTTTCACTGTATCACTCTTTTACTCGGCAGTGAGTTAGGCCAGCCAATCATTTCATTCAGACGTGGTCATCAAAGTCCTTACAGCCACACATACCAAAAATATTTCCATTTCTGTGTCAGTGCGTTTGATTTATTGATGTCTGTCGGGTTTAAAGAAAATTTCAACAAATAGAACAAACATGCTTCTGAAATAAATTACCTGCCCAGCTTTAGAGTCACGTGATGATGGTGACTTCCTGTGTCTGTTTCCTCGTTTGTGTTTCAGGGAAAATTTTATCGCTGCACAGACGAAGCCAAGAGCACACCTGAACAGTGCAAGTGAGTTTTTACTTCTCTGAAACCAGCTTCTGCTAGAAAGACTGAGAGATGACATCACTGTGTGTGCATGTCTGGTTGTGCGAGTTGGTTGTGTGTGTGTGTGTGTGTGTGTGTGTGTGTGTGTGTTTTCATGTTTGTGTGTGTGTATGTGTGCACATACGTGCGTGTCTGGTTGTGCATGTGTGTGTGTGCCTTTGTGTCTTTGTGAGCATGTGTGTGTGTCTTTGCACGTGTTTTATTATATTTGTGGGTTCCAAAAACGGTGATTCACTGTACTTGTGGGGACAAAATGTTGGACCTCGCTCATTTGAAGGGCTGTTTGAGGCTTAAGACTTTGTTTTAGGGTTCATTGTGTTAATGAGATGTCCCCACGGCGAATTTGTGTTCAGAGGGACCTTCGTGGTGTATAAAGATGGTGACGTGAGCCACCCGATGGTCAGGGAGAGGATCTGGCAGAACAGCGACTTTAACTTTGATAACGTGTTGATGGGGATGATGGCGCTCTTCACCGTCTCCACCTTCGAGGGCTGGCCCGCGTGAGTTTTCAATTCAAACAACTTTATTAACATCAGTCCTACTGCAGAACAGAACCAGGCTGAGGCGTTTTCCCCTCCTCACCTCTCTCTCTCTCTGCAGGCTGCTGTATAAAGCCATCGACGCTAACGGGGAGAACTCTGGTCCCATCTACAACTACCGCGTTGAGATCTCCATCTTCTTCATTGTCTACATCATCATCATCGCCTTCTTCATGATGAACATCTTTGTGGGTTTCGTCATCATCACCTTCAGAGAGCAGGGAGAGCAGGAGTACAAGAACTGTGAGCTGGACAAGAACCAGGTGAACACCTGGACCTCTGCTGCATTTTAACCTTGAATTCCATCCCGGATGAGCGCGGCGGGTCGTGATGCGACTTGACCTGACCGCTCATGTGTTGACCCTTTCTGTCTCTGCAGCGTCAGTGTGTGGAGTACGCTCTGAAGGCTCAGCCGCTGAAGCTTTACATCCCAAAGAACCCGGTCCAGTACAAGTTCTGGTCAATCATCAACTCGACAGGATTCGAATACGTCATGTTCGTCCTCATCCTGCTCAACACCGTCACTCTGGCTGTTCAGGTCAATAACACACTCAGCTTACTGTCGAGGTCTGAAGCCCCACCCTCACCTGTACAAAGGCCCGCCCCCCTCTTGTCCCTTTTTTTTGGATCAAGAGTTCAATGATGTTGTGCTTTAGTGTTTTAAAGCTGTTTTCTCTCCTGCAGCACTACGAACAGTCGAAGACCTTCAGCCACATCATGGACATCCTCAACATGGTGTTTACTGGACTCTTCACTGTGGAGATGGTGCTGAAGCTGCTCGCCCTCAGACTCAGGGTGAGAAAAACAAACACACCTGGAAAATAACTCTCCGCCCCACAGTGAATGTGTCTGATAACAGGGACTGTGTGTTTCACCACCTGATGTTTGGCTGGTCTGGTATTTCAGTTCATTACTTTAGTTGATTAAAGTAAGTATTAACTTTAGGACCGTCCCCGACTAAGGAATCAGAGTCGTCAGGTCCTGCCTGTAGTCGACTGATTGTCAAATCATGTGTGTTTTTGTGCGCAGTGATTGAGCTGAAGCTAAACTGAGACTTATTGTCGACCATTTCCTCTCTCAATTCAATTCAATTTATATTAGCTTTATTGGCATGAATGTGTAACAACATTGCCAAAGCATCATACATACAACATAAGAACAATCAACCCCATACATTTCATTAAACAAGTGTGTTAAAAAATAAAAATATATTATAATAATATATATAATAATATATACTCTCTCTCTCTCTCTCTCTCTTGTGCGCCATACTGCGGTCTTGTGGTCTAGTTTTGTCGCGGCTTTGTGTGGTTCATCAACGGTGATAAATTATCTGAAAGTCCCGTGAGTTGGGTTGCCCCAGGTTAGAGTTACAATTTAGGATTTATTCACACACTTTAAAAACATTTATTGAAAGTTCTTTTTACATATTTATTTACAGCATTAAACGTTGTAACAGGCAACCTTTTGGGAGAAAACTAGTAGTTCTATGTAAAATCAGATGTTGAGCACCCCCACATGATCCTTGTTTCACTGCGAAGCTTCGACTGTGAGATTGACAGTCTAATCAGACTCCGCCCATCGAATCTTCGACTATTAACTTACTAGATTTTATTATTAATCTTGCCAGGGCACAAGATAAAACAATCAGGGATCAGATTAACAACACAAGTACAAAAATAAAAAATACAAATAATGTGACCAGTACATTCAGAAAACTAAAAACAGAAAACAGTAATGTGGCGTTACCTGAGATTCAGCAGGGTTACTGCACAGCGCACAAGAGTTTTTGCTCCTATTGAAGTGGAATCCTGGAACTCTAAATCTACGACCTGAGGGGAGAAACTCAGAATGAAGAAGCTGGCCTGTGCAGCCTGATGTAGACCTGACCTTGCTGAGAACCTGCTGCTCAAACACAGCAGTCACACCTGATACCTGTTCCGGTGTTTCCTGTCCCTGATGTTCAGGTTCCCATGAAATCATATAAACAGATTCAACAGCTGACATGTAAAACAAACATCGAACTGTCTGGTCAACATTAAAAACATTGCTTTTTGGCTTTTTCCCTCTCCTTTACTGTGGTAGCCCTCAAACGTTGCACCCTCTGGACACCTTGGTGGCAAAAATGTGCATGCACAATAAAACTGAAATAAAATCATTTTACATCAATATAGTTTTTTGCTTTTTTCATAATTCACTTAAACAACTTCTCCACTGCTCAAAAAATAATTCATTTTTTGTACTAAATAGTTTATTGCACATTTTTGCCACCAAGCTGTCCAGAGGGTGCAAAATGCAAATCAAAAAAAAAAAGTTGAGAAAAATGTACAAGAATGCCCGAGGAGGGCTGAAGGGTTAAATCTGTTTGTGCATCTAACAGGTTTGCAAAGTGAAAAAGCCCAAAGGGAGCAGAAAACTCTGCTTTCTCAGATTTCTCCCACCTCTACCGGGCCTTTTAACTGTCCACGTGATTTCATTATTGTGTTGATGTACGAGAGTTTTCTTTAACGGTTTACTTTCACTTCATTTTAAACGTTTCCATCGGAGCTGTAATGTCAGCAAATAACCAGGGATATTTATGCAGCAAATCTAAAAACTGTAGTTATAAACTTGACAGGACAGACAAGGAAACTCTGTAGAGGAAATTTAAAGGCTCTGATGGCGCTCAGGATTGATCAGGAGGACGGCTGCTTTACTCCAAACAGTTTCACTGGATGACTGTGTGTGAAAATATTAATTAACGTTAGATTCTGACTGATCCTGTCGGCGTGTTTGGAGATTTAAACATGAAGTTATGCTGCTGTGGCCCGTGCGTAGAGTGAAGCAGAGACGCTTCACCCCGTTTCGCCCAGAGCTCTGCCCGCAAACAGCTTCTGCTCTCAGTTATTGCATGTGCTTCCTGTGTTTCCCCAGCTGTGGACACTGATTGTGGAGCAGTTTTTCAAGTTGAAATGATGGCAGCGGCGGTGTAATCAGCTGCGCCCGCATGGCCTTCATTTAAGTTGATCGTGTTATCAATGGTTTTTATTTGAATGATTTTATTTAAACATACATATAATTACGGAGGTCCGGACCTCGGTGACCTCATACGACCCTGCTTGTAACCACTCGGTGTTGAAGGAAAGTGTGTCAGTGCGTGCGCACATTTCTGCTGTGCAGCACCCCTAAGCCAAAATGTCTTCCCGTGCGTCTGGTTAGATGTGACATTAAATTAGAATTAGATTAAATTAAAATAATGTTAGAGCCCATCCAGGCAGTCAGAGGACATAAAGCTGTCACTGTGATGTAGAGACGGAGCTCAGCTAAAACCTTATGAAAGATAGGTAACAACAAAGATCTTACAGAAGTGAATAATGTTGTAGTAAAGACCACCCAAACCAAGACCAAGTTGAGACCAAGACCAGTTCCCCACATTACATGGCATAGAATAAAATATGGAAGTTCAGAGGTACGTCTCAAATGGATCTGAAACATCCACATTCCCATTAAAACCCCCACATTCAAACACTAAGAGCTGAAATCAACGTAAGCATCTTTATTCAACACTCCTTTTCCACGCTGACCATCGCGGGGAGGGGGGGGGGGGCAGTCGTTAACGGGAACAACACATTTTTAATTAGGGTCACTGGTTGCATTTGAAGCAACACGTTTTCCATCCAGTCAAAGTTTGAATGTTAACAAATAAATCAGATGATACAAAAGCAATTTATGGATATTCCCAAAGTTCTGGACTCTACTGGTCTTGGAATAAAATCCCGAGTCTTCAATGACCGAGACCGAGACGAGACCAAGACCATCAAAAAGTGGTCTTAAGACCGTTCTCGAGTGCTACAACACTAGTCAGAGGACATAAAGCTGTCACTGTGATGTAGAGACGGAGCTCAGCTAAAACCTTATGAAAGACAGGTAACGACAAAGATCTTACAGAAGGCAGATGTTCCACTCAGTAGCTAAAATGGAGCGTTCAACGCACAGGGTGAAAAGAGGAGCTGCAGAGATGTGCTGTCTGACAGAAATATGAAACCATGTAAACCTGTTCTGGTTCAAGCCCTAAATACACTGATCGACCTGAAAAGGAGCAGAATGTGACCTATTTAACTTCCCGAGGAACGTTCTTACAGACTGAATCAATTTGTGCCGTCGTGTTTGACACCTCCACATTTATTATTAGGTGAACCTAAACTCTGCATGTTCTTAGAATCTGTTCACATCAGCTCAGTCGTATTTCAGTCCTGCTTCCTCTGACAGAGAGGATGTGCAAACTCACGGGGTTGATGCTCGATGACGTCAGCGGGAGGTTATGACATCAGACTGCCTGTAACTATAACATCACGTGTCTCTTTTCCCCGCAGCATTACTTTATAGACGCCTGGAACTCGTTCGACGCTCTGATCGTGGTCGGCAGCGTCGTGGATATCGTCGTCACGGAGTTCAGTGTGAGTATTCAGACGACGACACTCTGGATCAAACCCCCAAACTACCGAGACTCGAGAAAGAGATCTCCATGTCCCAACACACATTATGTCAAAGGCAGAATGCTGAAAGTTCCAGAAAGCTAGAACGATTAATAAGTGATCTTGATGTCCTGCTGCATCGGGCCGCAGTTTGCAGTCTGCGAGCCGGCGTGTTTTTCCTGGATTCTGACCCACAATACTCAGCGCAGCATCAGTTTGAGCCAGAGGTCAGAGGTCATGGAGCCGTGTTATGACCGAGTAGTTTGTCCCAACTGTACTGCATACTGTACGCAGCAGTACGCACTGTGAGGGCAGCTGCAGTACTGAAGTACCAAGAGAAGGTTTGAGATCCGGAACGCAGCTTCTTCTTCTGCTCTTCTTCTGTAAATGCCTCTCTCTCCCCCCCGCCTCTCTCTCAGAGTGGGGAGGACAGCTCTCGGGTGTCGATCACCTTCTTCCGCCTGTTTCGAGTGATGCGATTGGTCAAGCTGCTGAGTAAAGGGGAGGGGATTCGTACACTGCTGTGGACTTTCATTAAATCGCTGCAGGTGAGAGGGGGCGGGGCTAATGTGTGCGTGTGTGTGTGGGCGGGGCTAACAGGGCAGCAGCTTAACGCCTTCCTCTCTCGCCAGGCTCTGCCGTACGTCGCTCTGCTCATCGCCATGATCTTCTTCATCTACGCTGTGATCGGGATGCAGGTGAGTTCAGGTGGTCCTGCAGGGGGGCATCAGATCTGATCCAGAACCAGTGGCCTGTACTACAGAGCGAGGTAACTGGCTTATCCAGGTAACTTCAGGTGTAACTTCCTGATTAACCCGTCCTAAGAAAGGTTTGTTTATTTATTATCTGCTCTCTATGTCTTCAGAGATATGGTCAAAGTATTTTCACATATTTAGAGGTTGGGGGTTAATAAACCGAACTAAATCTAGATTAAAGTGTCAAATTTACTGGAAGAAAAGTCAGAAAAAATCTAAAATCACTCTGGTGTTATCTTCTGAATACGCCCGATCCACAGCAAAGTCTCTGAGGTCCCTGGTAGGGATTGTGGGCTGAACTCACAAGTATTTCCTCACTGCTGAACAGGGGCGTCAATTTGCGTTGAAAAGCGGTGAGGACATAAGGGCTCAGATCAGGGTCGGGATGACACATTTGGTCATGAGACGTGACAAGACAAGAAGATTTTTAGCAATGAGCATTAAACACTTCATTTCCTGCATTCTGGAGACATTTTCTGCTCCAATTTCTGGTGGAAATGTCTTTATTTATATAAAAGGAAACAAAAAAGTCGGCATGCAGGGGACAATTCATAAATCTAAAACTATATATTATATTATATATTACACAGTTTTTAGTGCCTTTTCTTGGACGATGCACAGTGTTTTCTCATTTCTCAATGCATTTTAATTTGTTAGTTAACATTTCCTGGTGCTGCTTTTTTTAACTAATGCTTTCAAAAAGTGATGGGGTGTGTTGGGGACATGTCCAAAGCGTCCCCAGCGTCCCCAGTGTAAATGACGCCTATGCTGCTAAAGCCAGTTGTGAACTTTCCACTGCATGCGTCACTCACACGGCAGAGGTGTGCGTGATGTTGCAGTCTTTACTCCATGCGATGCCAACAAGCCTCCCTGGCACTTCCGCCGCCACGATATCAGATTTAGCCGTTAACGTGTCTTTAAACTCCTCATATCCTGACACACTATCAACCTGCATTCTTCTGGTGAAAATACGGAGCACGCGCCGCTGTGAAAAAACTCTTTTAACCCTTTTATGTGAATGTGCACCAACACGACTGAACTAACCAACATCTTCTCCCCCGTCGTAGTTTAACTCTACGGTCAGACTTTGTTACCCTGAGTTACCTCTGAGTAGGTTAGACTCCCTTCATAGTCCAGGCCTCCCTTCATAGTCCTGAAACTGGTTCCAAACAAATAGCAGGTTTTCCTTTGAGCTGAAGTCCAATCCGAAGTGGGCGTGTTCGGTGCAAAGGAGCCGCCTGTTTGTGTTTGGCTTCAGTTCTGATGAGCTGACGTTGGAACAGCCGCTGCAGCCGATGGTTACCTGTCTAACCTGAACCATCTGTCTCTCTCTGGCAGACGTTTGGGAAGATTGCGATGCAGGATTTCACTCAGATCAACAGGAACAACAACTTCCAGACTTTTCCTCAGGCGGTTCTTCTCCTCTTCAGGTCAGGTCCTCCTCCTCCTGGTCATAATTACATTACAAGAATCAGACGCAACATTTCACCCGTTGGTTTCATGAAGCTGACTGTTCAGTTCTGAGTTCATCAAACGCCTTCAAACTGAGTGAAGCTGCAGATCTCAGGAACAATGAGGTTCTGTTGTGTTCTGGTTCTTTTACCTGTGTGTGCGTTTGTGTGTCTGCAGGTGTGCTACAGGCGAGGCGTGGCAGGAGATCATGTTGGCCAGTCTTCCAGGTAAACGCTGCGACCCCGAGTCGGACTACGAACCAGGAGAGGAGTTCAGCTGCGGCAGCAACATCGCCATCGTTTACTTCATCAGCTTCTTCATGCTGTGTGCTTTCCTGGTCAGAACACACACACACACACTGATCAGCCATAACATTACCCTGATTACCTGGTTACCATGGCAACATTAAACCCAAATTCCCCAGATCGCAATCCAACTGAGCATCTGTGCGACGTGCTGGACAAACAAATCCGATCCACGGAGGCCCAGCCTCACAATGCACAGGACTTAAGCCCCCGATATACTTTTTTTTTTGTTCCCACACTTGCCTGCGTACTTTTTGTGTACCTGGAGGATTTAACCTGAATCCACTAGGGGGCAGACCAGGACCAGGTCATCCCTCGCCGACACCGGATCATCTTCCTCCGAATTTGCACATCGTAAACAAACCAAACACGGCGACACTCGAGGAGGTTGAGATTTTATTGAGACATCATAACGATCTCGGTTATTGCGGACTAGAAACCTGCGCGGGACTGTTTTCTTGTTTCAGCTCCCGCTGATTTTGAGACCATTACCGCCCACTCCCGCAAACATTGTTGACATGCAGAGTAAAAAAAGGACACAAATGTTTGGGCTATGCTGAACGTTCAATATAACCGACAGAAATCATTGCATTCATTTTTGTCAGTTACGTTAAGTTTTCCAAATGTCAGACTTGCCTTGCTTTGGTCTTGTAGAGTATCAGCCCGGTTGACGGACGCCAGCGAGGCTGTGTAGGGCGTAAACCTGACTCCATCTTCCCAGCGCTACTGCAGGAGCCGCTGTTTATTTTTTACCCGCCCGCTCCCGTGCGATTTGTGTTGGGTCCCAATCTCAGTGCAGCTCTCTATTGCGGACTGGCTCCAGGAGTTTTATTGTAAAAATCCCACCATAAATCTCCTTTTTTAAGTCTGCTGCTGACCTTCTTCTTCTTCTTCTTCTTCTTCTTTTGCGTTTAATGGCGGTTGGCAAACCAACTGCGTACCGCCACCACCTGGGCTGGAGTGTGGAACAGGAAGTCGCTGCTGACCTGCCGGTCAGATCAGCACACTGTCCCCACGGTCATGTGTCTGAATCTCGCAGACGCGTTGTATTAATTCCTGGGGACGTGCACAACCTACGCTCCAAAGGAACGCGGGATACGCATAGCCGCCATCTTACGTACGCGAACGCATAGTTAAAAGCAAGTATGTGCAGGGCTTTATAGGAGAGCTTTTATTCTGCTTTTCCAATCTTATATTGTAGTTCTGTGACTCCTATATGGCAGCTTTGCATCATTCAAAGTTCAAACAATCATTTTCTATCTTATACCGACTCTTCATGTAGGCCTTCATTTCAGCCTCTGTCTGAAACAAGCTGTAGATGCTCCTGTCTCTTTAAGGCCCCCCCTCTCAAAGCCCACTGTCTTCTGATTGGCTGAGACCTGAAGCATGTTACCAGGCTGTTGTCGCTGGGCGGAACAGGCAGACCGAGCGTTGCTATGGGAGCACATGACCATATATGGAACAGCGGCTCCGTCTGGCTCCTGGTGTCGTGTTACGGAGCCGTTGGTAGAAACAGCAGTTGAAAGCAGAGCGTTCAGAACAGGAGGAAACTGAGGTTTACGCTCACAGGGATTTCTTTTAAATACTTTAACCTCATATTTGAAGCTTTGGCCATGTTTAACATGAACATCCAACATTATAACACTGTAGATAAGTCATAAAATGTGGAAAAGCACAATAGGTCTCTTTTAAAGGATCTGCTGTCAGAAACCACAGAAACACCCTCAGAGGTCTAGTGGAGTCCAGGTCTCGATGTGTCCTGGTCAATATTAGGCAGGTGGTCATAATGTTACGGCTGATACACACACTGAGTAATACACTATGACTGATGCTCGTGTCTCCTTCAGATCATTAATCTTTTCGTCGCCGTCATCATGGACAACTTTGACTACCTGACACGTGATTGGTCCATTCTGGGGCCGCATCATCTGGACGAGTTCAAGAGGATCTGGTCCGAATACGATCCAGAGGCCAAGTATGTTTGTCTCCTGCAGACTCACGTATTTGTAGTATAATGTACTTTACTGTAGTATAACGCGCCGTATTGTAGTAAAATTTGTTGCCATACTGTATTGTATTATAGTATAATGTATTGTACTGTAGTATAATGTATTGTATTATATTATACCGTATTGTATTATAGTATAATGTATTGTATTATATTATACTGTATTGTATTATAGTACAACATGTTGTACTGTAGTATAATGTATTGTATTATATTATACTGTATTGTATTATAGTATAACATGTTGTACTGTAGTATAATGTATTGTATTATATTATACTGTATTGTATTATAGTATAACATGTTGTACTGTAGTATAATGTATTGTATTATATTATACTGTATTTTATTATAGTATAACATGTTGTACTGTAGTATAATGTATTGTATTATATTATACTGTATTGTATTATAGTATAACATGTTGTACTGTAGTATAATGTATTGTATTATATTATACCGTATTGTATTATAGTATAACGTGTTGTATTGTAGTATAACATGTTGGATTGTAGTATAATTTACTGTATTGAAGTATACTGTGTTGTATTTGTAGTATAACATGTTGTACTGTAGTATAATGTACTGTATTGAAGTATACTGTGTTGTATTGCAGTATAACGTGTTGCACTGTAGTATAATGTACTGTATTCCTTCTCTCAGAGGGCGTATCAAACACCTGGACGTTGTGGCTCTGCTCAGGAGGATTCAGCCTCCGCTGGGTTTTGGGAAACTCTGTCCTCACAGAGTGGCCTGTAAGGTAAATGTACTGCACTGTGTACTCTGGGTAGTATACTGACGCCTGTGTAGATACAGATGATTTAGAAAACTCTTCCTGTCTCTCAGCGTCTGGTTGCGATGAACATGCCTCTGAACTCTGACGGCATGGTGACCTTTAACGCCACGCTCTTTGCTCTGGTTCGCACCGCCCTCAAGATCAAGACTGAAGGTATGTGATTGGTCATCAGGACAGCTGTACGATGACCCCTGGGTCACGAGAGGATCAAAGCGCTGCATGTTGACAGTATAATAAAGTATTTCTGATTCTGATAACACAGTTTAAATATAAGCTGAGGTAAATTAAACGGCGAGATCTGGCGTCCATGTTTGTTGGTTTGGATAGATCAGAGCTTCTGCTGTTTACAAGTCAGGAACTTCAGTCAGGTGACCTGAACGCAGCATTACCATAATCTATATCTGGCCCCGCCCACTGTGTGCTGCTGCTAGGTAACCCTGACCAGGAGAACGAGGAGCTGAGGGGGATCATCAAGAAGATCTGGAAGAGAATGAAACCAAAACTACTGGATGAAGTAATACCACCACATGAAGGTACTAGTACAACTGATACTACAACAAATACTACAACAAACACAGCAAATACTACAACAAACACAACAAATACTACAACAAACACTGCAAATACTGCAACAACTAACAAATACAGCAAATACTACAACAAACACAAAAAATACTGCAAAAAACATAAGAAATACTAAAAAAACACAGCAAATACTACAACAAACATAAGAAATACTACAACAAACACAGCAAATACTGCAACAACCAACAAATACAACAACAAACACAGCAAATACTACAACAACCAACAAATACAGCAAATACTACAACAAACACAGCAAATACTACAACAACCAACAAATACAGCAAATACATCAACAAACACAACAAATACTACAACAAACACTATAACAAACACAGCAAATACTGCGACAACAAACAAATACAATAACAAACGCAGCAAATACTACAACAACCAACAAATACATCAACAAATACATCAACAAATACAGCAAATACTACAAAAAACACTACAACAAACGCAGCAAATACTGCAACAACCAACAAATACAACAAATACTACAACAAACACAGCAAATACTGCAACAACCAACAAATACTACAACAAACACAGCAAATACTACAACAAACACAGCAAATACTGCAACAACCAACAAATACTACAACAAACAAAGCAAATACTACAACAAACACAGCAAATACTGCAACAACCAACAAATACATCAACAAATACAGCAAATACTACAAAAAACACTACAACAAACGCAGCAAATACTGCAACAACCAACAAATACAACAAATACTACAACAAACACAGCAAATACTGCAACAACCAACAAATACTACAACAAACACAGCAAATACTACAACAAACACAGCAAATACTGCAACAACCAACAAATACTACAACAAACAAAGCAAATACTATAACAAACACAGCAAATACTGCAACAACCAACAAATACTACAACAAACACAGCAAATACTACAACAACCAACAAATACTACAACAAACACAGCAAATACTACAACAAACACAGCAAATACTGCAAAAACCAACAAATACTACAACAAACACAGCAAATACTACAACAAACACAGCAAATACTGCAACAAACACAGCAAATACTGCAACAACCAACAAATACTACAAAAAACACAGCAAATACTACAACAAACACAGCAAATACTACAACAAACACAGCAAATACTGCAACAAACACAGCAAATACTGCAACAACCAACAAATACTACAAAAAACACAGCAAATACTACAACAAACACAGCAAATACTGCAACAACCAACAAATACTACAACAAACACAGCAAATACTACAACAAACACAGCAAATACTGCAACAAACACAGCAAATACTGCAACAACCAACAAATACTACAACAAACACAGCAAATACTGCAACAAACACAGCAAATACTGCAACAACCAACAAATGCTACAACAAACACAGCAAATACTACAACAAACACTACAACAAACACAGCAAATACTGCAACAAACACTACAACAAACACAGCAAATACTGCAACAACCAACAAATACAGCAAATACTACAACAAATACAGTACATTGTACTAGTACTTCTTCTGGGAGTACTTCTGACTACTTGTCTCCGGTCCTGCAGAGGAGGAAGTGACAGTGGGGAAGTTTTACGCGACCTTCCTGATTCAGGATTACTTCAGGAAGTTCAGGAAGAGGAAAGAGAAAGCAGGTCTGCCCGGAGAGGTCGACGCCGCCAACCCGTCTGCTGTCCAGGTCAGTCTGTCTGTGCACACAAATACATACATGTACATATAAGCTGTGTATATATATATATATATACACAGCTTATATGTATGTGTGTATATACACGTGCTGACAGTGTGCAGTCTGCTCAATTACTTTTGGTACATTTTTCTTATAATACTTCTGAACTTTTACTGAACATTTTGAACACAGGTGTTGGAATACTTTTAGTGTGTATTTGACTTCCAGCCCGTACTCACGGCAGATGTTCCTGTACACTATGACAGCTACCTGGTTATGGCGTTCCATGTACGCACGTCCTCTCTCTTGGATCTTTGTCGTCTCATCCTGGACAGTGGTCTTGACACTCTCTAGCCCTCGGCCTCCCTCGCTACGCTTGGTGTGCCGTCTCAGGGTGCTGGATTTGGGGTGAAACCCTCCATGCAGTTAAAGGAGCTTTCATGTCTTGATGTCAGTGGCCTCTATCTCCTCATTTGGCCAGTTTATTATACCAGCGGGGTATCAGATGACTGGCAGGGCGTGTGTGTTGATGGCTCGGATCTTGTTCTTCCCATTCAGCTGACTTTTCAGGACCTGCCTTTCTGTAGGTATTTGGCTGCGGCAGACTTCCTTGCTGCCTCCTCATGGTTTCCGTTAGCCTGCGGCACCCCAAGGTATTTGTAGCTGTCCTGAACATCTGCAATGTGGCCTTCTGGTAGTTCAGTCCCCTCGGTTCTGATTATCTTCCCTCTTTTTGATACCATGCGACCACACTTGTCCAGTCCGAACGACATTCCAATGTCATTGCTGTAGATCCTGGTACTGTGGATCAGTGAGTCGACGTCTGGCATACAGCTTTATGTCATCCATGTAGAGGAGGTGACTGATGGTTGTTCCACTTCGGTAGCCAGTCTTTGTGAAGATCTGGCTGAGGGGGTTCAGGCCTATGCAGAACAGCAGCGGGGACAGTGCATCGCCTTGGTATATGCCGCACTTGATGGTGACTTGTGCAATTGCCTTTGATTTGGCTTCCAGACTTGTTTTCCACAGACCCATTGAGTTCTTGATGAAGGCTATTAGTGTCCTGTTGATCTTGTACATTTCCAAGCATTCCAGTATCCATGTATGTGGCATTGAGTCGTGGGCTTTCTTGTAGTCAATCCAGGCGGTGCACAGGTTGGTCGGCCTGGTCTTGCAGTCTCGAGTGACCGCTCTATCAACCAGTAGCTGTTGCTTGGCTCCCCTGGTATTACTGCCCATTCCCTTCTGGGCCCTGTCCATGTATTGAGCCATGTGCCTACTCATCTTAGCCGCTATGATGCCTGACAGGAGCTTCCATGTTGTGCAGAGGCAGGTTATTGGCCGGTAGTTGGATGGGATTGTTCCCTTCTGGGGACCCTTCATGATCAGGACTGTCCGTCCTTGGGTTAACCATTCTGGGTGGGTCCCATCCATCAGCAGTTGGTTCATTTGTGCTGCCAGGCGTTCATGGAGTGCAGTTAGTTTCTTCAGCCAGTAGGTGTGGATCATGTCAGGGCCTGGTGCTGTCCAGCTCTTCATACCTGCCGTTGTTATGGTTACTGGATCTTGTTCTGGGAGATTGCTGTGATGTGTTCTTAGATCCATTAGCCACTGAGCATTGGTGTTGTGGGATGCCTCTTTCTCCCATATGTTCTTCCAGGACTGTTCAGTCTCAGCCCTGGGTGGATCTGATCTTGTGTTATTACCCTGCCACTGTGAGTACACTTTGGATGGTTTGGTGGAGAATATCCGGTTTATTCTTCTGGTTCGCTTCTCCCTTGTACCCCTTTAGGCGGGTAGCCAGAGCGGTAAGTCTTTCTGTAGCTCGCTCGGGCTCTGACAGATACAGTCTGTGTGCAGAGTACTGACGTACGTGACAAAAGAGAAACTAAGAAAAGTGAGTAGATATCTAAACTCTATCGTATATATAAATGTGTGTATGTATAAATACAGGCTAACTGCGCTGCCGCCAACAGTATCTCTGTAAAGTAAAACAGTCTGTGTGTTTGCAGCTGTGTAAAGCCGGTCTGAAGACTCTGCAGGATCTGGGTCCGGAGATGCGTCTGGCTCTGAACGAAGACATGGATGTGGACGAGGACGAGGAGGTCATGATGGAGGACGAAGAGCAGGAGGAGAACGCCACGTATAAGGTCTTTAATAAACCCACCATGGTTAAAAAGAAACAAGCGGGAACCCGTCCTGCAAGGCGAGGTACTGAGGTCAAAAGTCACAGCTGCTCTCCTTGTGTCTGCAGGGGGAAAACGGGTTCGGACCGGAGAAGGACCGGCGAGGCTCCATACTGACCACGCCCACAGGTAAACCACACGTTACCATGGTCACACCAGGTTAGGATTAATATGACATTAGATAAAAATACATGTCACATTAGAATTCAGTGAAATGTTCAATTAATTTGGAGACAAAATCTGTGGAAGATCAATTCTGCCAAAAGAAAAAAGAACGAGTAAAAAGTCAACAAATACTTGAGCGTTTCTTTTACAAGTTATTCTCTCCGCTGATCGATTGGTTTTCCCAGAGCCCAGTTTGTCAGATTCAGATGTTTTGTTTTGTCCAAAGATGTTCAGTTTACTGGCAAATACATAGAATAAAACTTCATTTAATAAAGCTTTTAGTCCCCGAACTCACCGGCCTTTATTTGGGACGGGCCTTTACTCCTTTTGACACTAATATCTCACTCAGCGAAGACGGGAAACAGGCTGCTATCAAACTGTTTATTTCAACCAATATGAATATTACTTGGATAAAAATTCAGGCTATTATCAATTACCAATCATAAATTTGATCAAGCTCTGACAGAGAGAGAGAGAGAGCAAACCGTATAAAGGATGAAAGCTGAAGTTTACTGTAGTTTCTTCAAATTGGATTAATCTTTATGTTTAGATTCTTCTGATCAGTGGACCCTCGTGGACTAAAGGAACATAAATAATTGAGGAATGAACACTGATTCAGACTTTATGATCCCTTCAAAGGTTGAGAGTCACATCTTTTTTTTCTTCTTTCTGCTTTACCCTGGCGTTAAATCTAAATTATTTATATGATGGTGCTCATTGTTGTATTTTGGAGTATCGTGTCGATACTGACAAAAGTTTAAACATTTATATTACAGTTTATATTTGTCTGTGTGGTCTAAGCAGCTTAGCTCAAGCAGGGCTTTAACATCCAGAGTACTTCTATAAAAACCAGACCAGGCTTCTAATTGAGACCTGCGTTTATTTGTCAAAACATGCAGCCACATCAGGTCGGTAAAAGGCACTGGCGTCTAACTGGGACCTGGCTTTTAAATGAAGCTTTTAAACATTCATATTTAAAAGTCTAGAAGTAGAGAGGGGTTGGCTCTTTTTGTCTGATTGATCGGTCAATGAATGCAATCAAAACAATCGCAGTCAGTGAAGAAACTGATTAATCAACAGTGTCGGCTTTGATTTTTTTTTATTTAACTTTTCATTAGTTTTATCTTTTCCTTAAGTCTTTCCCAGTCGGTGACAGTCTCAGTCTTTGCTATCAGTCAGACTTAGAAAAGCTTCTGAAATGCTTCGAGTAAAAATTGTGAACTTCGCCACGATACATGTTGTTTTGCACGAGTCCTCATTTCCCCGAGTGGAGAGTGTAAAGTTAGCACAAGTTGGACTCTGTGTCTCAATTCGCGCCCTTCGATATTCACACTTTTTGGAGTGCAGAAATCAGTTCACACTGAGGCTGCGTTCAGACTGCAGGCCTCACATTGCTCAGATTGAACAGTGTGAACAGCCCAGGTCACATCTGATAAGGGTTGGGTATCGTTTAAAATTTTACGATACCAGTACCAAACCCAGTACCCTTAAAGTGAAACCAATACCAATGAAGTACTTCATTCGATACCTTGCATAAAATGTCACCTGTACTAAGCTACTAGCTTATTAGTATTTTTATTGTTGTTATGGACAAGCAAGGTGATCTCTTTTATTTTTCTTGTTTCAAATAACTGCTACATAAAAAGTGGTGGGAAATTGCATCACATCGCTCCTCATCCTAATTAGGTCGTTCTCACTGGCCTATCAGGGGAAAGCTTGGGAGTTATTTTATATTAGAATGAGAGAGGAAGAGTGAAATAGTGACCAAATATGTTTTGGGAAATTAATTTAAGATACTTTTGATACTTGTGTTGAAAGTAAACAATGTAAAATTAACAATAAACTGAGTTGAAAGATCTGTGCAAACGCTTTTTCCTTTAGTGGTGAGCCGCAAACCTCTGAAAATACAGTCACAAGAATAAAACAAGTCAGGGTCTGTTTAAACAAGTCACTAAACTAAAGACTCACAGACAGAGTAAAGAGAGGCTGCAGGTCCGGCCGATCAAAGCAGCTGCACCTGAAGCAGCCGCAGCTGCAGCCGGAGGCTCCGTCAGGAAAATCAGCTGATCGCCGCTGCGCCACGAAAGCTTTAACTGATGTGACGGAACGCTGCGATTGATCGGTGACAAGTGATGTGAAGAGCTAATAAAAATGAAGTGTTAAATGATACCAGAAGATGAAACCAAGGGAAAGCCAAGCGTGTGGTGATAAACTTGATAAACAGTGACAAACACGCCTGAGACGCAGCCGGAGGTGAGCGTTTGGACTCGGCGCTGCAGTCTTTTTAAAGAGTTTATGGTGCAGGCACATCAGGAAACAAAGGCTGCTCTTCTCTTTCTTTAGGTGTGTTGTTTGCGTGTTTGGCTGCAAGCAACACTATACAAGTTTTAAATTTTTTGCCGTGAACTGGTTACAAAAAGTAGGCCAGGGTATCAATTGAAGTTCTGGTTTGACTGGAGGCGTTTCGGTTCTCCTAAATCTCGGGCTGTTTCGGTCGATACCATAAAGGTACTGAGTAGCGATACCCGTCCCTACATCTGATCTTTTCCAGCTCGGATTTTGGGCCACTTTCATATGTGGATTTTTTTAAATGCGACCTCAGTTTGAACACTCAGACTTTGATGTCACACTAGAGCAGCTGTTCCTGCGCCAGACGAAGCTGCGATGCTCACAAATTCACTTTCTTACACCTGAAATCCAGTGGGTCACGTGTTCTCTTCTGAGTTACATGCATGCTACGTGAGAGAGAGATCAGATGCGTTGTACAGCGCCAGAAACCATCATGGAAAGGACAGAAAGTTGTAAACATTTGTGACCCCGGGAGTAAATCAGGAGAAGGCGAGGAAATACCATAGGGAAATACAGGAGGGTTAGCATGTATGAGCTAACAGGAGCTAACCTCTGTGGCCTCCATGTTTACTTCTGTACGACAGCGTGCTGCGTGTGACGTCGTGTTAATCTTCCGCTGGTCACTCTCAGGCCGTAAACGGTTCAGACACTTCAGTCTGAAATGGACCTCATTCAAACTATAATGTGATCTGGGCAATAAACCGGCTTTCAGTCCTGCAGAGTGAACGCAGCCATTGAGTCCCAACATATATTCAAATTTGTGACCCCCCCCCCCAGGTCAGGGTGGTGTCATCGGGGACGGCGGCGTGTCTAACGGAGGTCTAGTACACCGGGTCGGTTCTGTCACCAAGACGCCGAATGGCAGCGAACACGACGAGCACCTTCGCCGTGGAGACAACATGAGGTCATCTATCAATCATCATCGCCGCCCATCGGTGAAGAACGGCGTGCTGGACTCCGCCCACAAGAGGCCGTCATACCGCATACATGGAAGGTACGTACTCCTACAGTACTGCGTTAATCGGTACTTTCATAACGACTGAAAGACAAACGCTGAACCGGATGCTGCAGTGATCAAACTCTGTGTTTACAGCTCAGCTCTCAGGTGTGTGAAGGAGGTTGTGCATTAAAATGGGGCAGTTTGTCTTTGACTGACAGGTGTCTCAGCCAATGACAGTCTCCTCTTGTTCTGCAGGAGGGACTCGAGGGAGAGATCCTGGAGGAACGGAGACATGGAGGCGTACGGAGAGCAAGGTTACTACAGCAGAGAGGAAGACAACGACAGCATCACCTCCAGAGACAGGTACGCAGACAGACATGTGGACAGGTACGCAGACAGACATGTGGACAGGTACACAGTCAGGCAGGTGGACAGGTACGCAGACAGACAGGTGGACAGGTACACAGTCAGGCAGGTGGACAGGTACGCAGACAGACAGGTGGACAGGTACACAGTCAGACAGGTGGACATGTACGCAGACAGACAGGTGGACAGGTACACAGTCAGACAGGTGGACATGTACGCAGACAGACAGGTGGACAGGTACACAGTCAGGCAGGTGGACAGGTACGCAGACAGACATGTGGACAGGTAAGCAGACAGACATGTGGACAGGTAAGCAGACAGAATGGTGGACAGGTACGCAGACAGGCAGGTGGACAGGTAGGCAGACAGACATGTGGACAGGTAAGCAGACAGACAGGTGGACAGGTACACAGACAGGCTGGTGGACAGGTAGGCAGACAGACATGTGGACAGGTAAGCAGACAGATTGGTGGACAGGTACGCAGACAGACAGGTGGACAGGTAAGCAGACAGACAGGTGGACAGGTAGGCAGACAGACATGTGGACAGGTAAGCAGACAGATTGGTGGACAGGTACGCAGACAGACAGGTGGACAGGTAGGCAGACAGGCAGGTGGACAGGTACGCAGACAGACAGGTGGACAGGTACGCAGACAGACAGGTGGACAGGTAGGCAGACAGACTGGTGGACAGGTAGGCAGACAGACAGGTGGACAGGTAGGCAGACAGACTGGTGGACAGGTACGCAGACAGACAGGTGGACAGGTAAGCAGACAGACAGGTGGACAGGTAAGCAGACAGATTGGTGGACAGGTACGCAGACAGGCAGGTGGACAGGTAGGCAGACAGGCAGGTGGACAGGTACGCAGACAGACAGGTGGACAGGTACGCAGACAGACTGGTGGACAGGTACGCAGACAGACAGGTGGACAGTTAGGCAGACAGACAGGTGGACAGGTAGGCAGACAGACAGGTGGACAGGTATGCAGACAGACAGGTGGACAAGTATGCAGACAGACAGGTAGACAAGTATGCAAACAGACAGGTGGACAGGTACGCAGACAGACAGGTGTGTGTGTGTCCCTGCAGACATTACCCCGATGAGCCTCCTCTATACAGAGACCACTACGATGGCCACGCCCCCTACACCAACAGTAGTTATGGTAACGGATACAACGAGGCCAGGAGGACGACCAGGAGACGCCTACTTCCTGCCACGCCCACAGGTAAGAGGACATCCTCTTTTCTACCTGAAAAACTTTGATTAGAGGACGTGATGTGAGACAGAAAGACGAGAAGTCACGTGACCAAACAAGTTGACATGAACTGAGATTAATGACGAGTTGGTTTATCAGTGTTACAGGTCATTTTGATCTAATCTGAATCAAACACACACACACTGTGACATCATCACTGGCAGCTGAGCAGGTGCGTTTGTTTCGTTGTCGTCTGTCAGGTCGGAAGCCGTCGTTTAACATCCAGTGTCTGAGGAGGCAGGGCAGCAACGACGACCTGCCCATCCCCGGGACGTACCACCCCACCTCGCCGCCACGCCGCACACGCACACAGGTAGGTAAAAACACAGGTAACACACACACCCTCGCCCCTCTTCATCAGTTAAGCGTAACCCTCCTCTTCCTCAGCAGACGTTCAGCAGTTATGAGTCTCGTCAGTCGTCCGGTCGCTCCTCGGCGGCCTCCTCGGCATCCTGGGCGAACCCGTGTCCTCGTCGCGGTCGCCTCCTCTACGCTCCTCTCATCCTGGTGGAGGAGGAAGGCAGCCCTCCCTGGGGGGGAGGAAGGGGAGGAGGAGGAGGAGAGGGGAAGAAGGGAGAAGCAGGTAGAGGTAAGGAGGCACAAGCTGAGTATCGTCCTGTACCATAAAGGATCCAAAGTTTTCAAATAACCCGCAGAAATAAATAAAGGCAGTTTATTAACCTGTTTTCATGTCTCACCTGGTCAATTCAGTAGAACTACAGTCATGTGATATTCACACATCTACTCCACATCTCATATGAAATATTGAACGTTTTACTGCCCAACATTGATCTGCCATCTTTTCAGATTAGGAGTTTTAAAACATGTGATGTATGGTTGATATGATAAACTTACAAAATACAAACCTAGTTTAAGATTAAACATGTGGGGTTTATTGGCTTGTGATGTCAGATGTCTAAATAATCCAGAAAAGTGTGGACGCTTAGCGTTCTTTAGCGTTGTTTTTCCACGTGTAGGGTCAAGTTAGCAAGAATCAATACACCACGTCAAAATAAAATTAGTGTTTAAAGTTGTGAAACGGAACGTTGTTTACGTTCTAAAGGTTGTGAAACGTCGCAATTTGGTCAAGTTTAGACACCTAAAGCGCTTTGTCAGGTTTAGACACCAAAAGCGCTTTGTCAGGTTTAGACAACCGCTTGGTCAGGTTTAGACACCAAAAGCGCTTTGTCAGGTTTAGACAACAGCTTGGTCATGTTTAGACACCAAAACGCTTTGTCAGGTTTAGACAACCGCTTGGTCAGGTTTAGACACCAAAACCACTTGGTCAGGTTTAGACACCAAAACCACTTGGTCAGGTTTAGACACCAAAAGCGCTTTGTCAGGTTTAGACGACCGCTTGGTCAGGTTTAGACACCAAAACGCTTGGTCAGGTTTAGACACCAAAAGCGCTTTGTCAGGTTTAGACAACCGCTTGGTCAGGTTTAGACACCAAAACGCTTTGTCAGGTTTAGACACCAAAACGCTTTGTCAGGTTTAGACACCAAAACCGCTTGGTCAGGTTTAGACACCAAAAGCGCTTTGTCAGGTTTAGACAACCGCTTGGTCAGGTTTAGACACCAAAACCACTTGGTCAGGTTTAGACACCAAAAGCGCTTTGTCAGGTTTAGACAACAGCTTGGTCATGTTTAGACACCAAAACGCTTTGTCAGGTTTAGACAACCGCTTGGTCAGGTTTAGACACCAAAACCACTTGGTCAGGTTTAGACACCAAAACCACTTGGTCAGGTTTAGACACCAAAAGCGCTTTGTCAGGTTTAGACGACCGCTTGGTCAGGTTTAGACACCAAAAGCGCTTTGTCAGGTTTAGACAACCGCTTGGTCAGGTTTAGACACCAAAACGCTTGGTCAGGTTGTTTAGACACCGAAAGCACTTGGTCAGGCGTAGACACCAAAACCGCTTGGTCAGGTTTAGACACCAAAACGCTTGGTCAGGTTGTTTAGACACCGAAAACGCTTTTTCAGGTTTAGACACCAAAAGCGCTTTGTCAGGTTTAGACAACCGCTTGGTCAGGTTTAGACACCAAAAGCGCTTTGTCAGGTTTAGACAACCGCTTGGTCAGGTTTAGACACCAAAACGCTTTGTCAGGTTTAGACACCAAAACCGCTTGGTCAGGTTTAGACACCAAAAGCGCTTTGTCAGGTTTAGACAACCGCTTGGTCAGGTTTAGACACCAAAACGCTTTGTCAGGTTTAGACACCAAAACCGCTTGGTCAGGTTTAGACACCAAAACCGCTTGGTCAGGTTTAGACACCGAAAACGCTTTGTCAGGTTTAGACACCAAAACCGCTTGGTCAGGTTTAGTCACCAAAACGCTTGGTCAGGTTTAGACACCAAAACTGCTTGGTCAGGTTTAGACACCAAAACGCTTGGTCAGGTTGTTTAGACACCGAAAGCACTTGGTCAGGCGTAGACACCAAAACCGCTTGGTCAGGTTTAGACATCAAAACGCTTGGTCAGGTTGTTTAGACACCGAAAGCACTTGGTCAGGCGTAGACACCAAAACCGCTTGGTCAGGTTTAGACACCAAAACGCTTGGTCAGGTTTAGACACCAAAACGCTTTGTCAGGTTTAGACACCAAAACCGCTTGGTCAGGTTTAGTCACCAAAACGCTTTGTCAGGTTTAGACACCAAAACCGCTTGGTCAGGTTTAGACACCAAAACGCTTGGTCAGGTTGTTTAGACACCGAAAGCACTTGGTCAGGCGTAGACACCAAAACCGCTTGGTCAGGTTTAGACATCAAAACGCTTGGTCAGGTTGTTTAGACACCGAAAGCACTTGGTCAGGCGTAGACACCAAAACCGCTTGGTCAGGTTTAGACACCAAAACGCTTGGTCAGGTTTAGACACCAAAACGCTTTGTCAGGTTTAGACACCGAAAACGCTTTGTCAGGTTTAGACAACCGCTTGGTCAGGTTTAGACACCAAAACCACTTGGTCAGGTTTAGACACCAAAAGCGCTTTGTCAGGTTTAGACAACCACTTGGTCAGGTTTAGACACCAAAACGCTTTGTCAGGTTTAGAGACCAAAACCGCTTTGTCAGGTTTAGACACCAAAACCGCTTGGTCAGGTTTAGACACCAAAAGCGCTTTGTCAGGTTTAGACAACCGCTTGGTCAGGTTTAGACACCAAAACGCTTTGTCAGGTTTAGACACCAAAACGCTTTCTCAGGTTTAGAGACCAAAACCGCTTGGTCAGGTTTAGACACCAAAACGCTTTGTCAGGTTTAGACACCAAAACCGCTTGGTCAGGTTTAGACACCAAAACCGCTTGGTCAGGTTTAGACACCAAAACCGCTTGGTCAGGTTTAGACACCGAAAACGCTTTGTCAGGTTTAGACACCAAAACCGCTTGGTCAGGTTTAGACACCAAAACGCTTTGTCAGGTTTAGACACCAAAACCGCTTGGTCAGGTTTAGACACCAAAACGCTTGGTCAGGTTGTTTAGACACCGAAAGCACTTGGTCAGGCGTAGACACCAAAAACGCTTGGTCAGGTTGTTTAGACACCGAAAGCACTTGGTCAGGCGTAGACACCAAAACGCTTGGTCAGGTTGTTTAGACACCGAAAGCACTTGGTCAGGCGTAGACACCAAAACCGCTTGGTCAGGTTTAGACACCAAAACGCTTGGTCAGGTTTAGACACCAAAACGCTTGGTCAGGTTGTTTAGACACCAAAACCGCTTTGTCAGGTTTAGACACCAAAACGCTTGGTCAGGTTGTTTAGACACCGAAAGCACTTGGTCAGGCGTAGACACCAAAACCGCTTGGTCAGGTTTAGACATCAAAACGCTTGGTCAGGTTGTTTAGACACCGAAAGCACTTGGTCAGGCGTAGACACCAAAACCGCTTGGTCAGGTTTAGACACCAAAACGCTTGGTCAGGTTTAGACACCAAAACGCTTTGTCAGGTTTAGACACCAAAACCGCTTGGTCAGGTTTAGTCACCAAAACGCTTTGTCAGGTTTAGACACCAAAACCGCTTGGTCAGGTTTAGACACCAAAACGCTTGGTCAGGTTGTTTAGACACCGAAAGCACTTGGTCAGGCGTAGACACCAAAACCGCTTGGTCAGGTTTAGACATCAAAACGCTTGGTCAGGTTGTTTAGACACCGAAAGCACTTGGTCAGGCGTAGACACCAAAACCGCTTGGTCAGGTTTAGACACCAAAACGCTTGGTCAGGTTTAGACACCAAAACGCTTTGTCAGGTTTAGACACCGAAAACGCTTTGTCAGGTTTAGACAACCGCTTGGTCAGGTTTAGACACCAAAACCACTTGGTCAGGTTTAGACACCAAAAGCGCTTTGTCAGGTTTAGACAACCACTTGGTCAGGTTTAGACACCAAAACGCTTTGTCAGGTTTAGAGACCAAAACCGCTTTGTCAGGTTTAGACACCAAAACCGCTTGGTCAGGTTTAGACACCAAAAGCGCTTTGTCAGGTTTAGACAACCGCTTGGTCAGGTTTAGACACCAAAACGCTTTGTCAGGTTTAGACACCAAAACGCTTTCTCAGGTTTAGAGACCAAAACCGCTTGGTCAGGTTTAGACACCAAAACGCTTTGTCAGGTTTAGACACCAAAACCGCTTGGTCAGGTTTAGACACCAAAACCGCTTGGTCAGGTTTAGACACCAAAACCGCTTGGTCAGGTTTAGACACCGAAAACGCTTTGTCAGGTTTAGACACCAAAACCGCTTGGTCAGGTTTAGACACCAAAACGCTTGGTCAGGTTGTTTAGACACCGAAAGCACTTGGTCAGGCGTAGACACCAAAACCGCTTGGTCAGGTTTAGACACCAAAACGCTTGGTCAGGTTTAGACACCAAAACGCTTGGTCAGGTTGTTTAGACACCAAAACCGCTTTGTCAGGTTTAGACACCAAAACGCTTGGTCAGGTTGTTTAGACACCAAAACCGCTTGGTCAGGTTTAGACACCAAAACGCTTGGTCAGGTTTAGACACCAAAACGCTTGGTCAGGTTGTTTAGACACCGAAAGCACTTGGTCAGGCGTAGACACCAAAACCGCTTGGTCAGGTTTAGACACCAAAACGCTTGGTCAGGTTTAGACACCAAAACGCTTGGTCAGGTTGTTTAGACACCGAAAGCACTTGGTCAGGCGTAGACACCAAAACCGCTTGGTCAGGTTTAGACACCAAAACGCTTGGTCAGGTTGTTTAGACACTGAAAGCGCTTTGTCAGATTTAGACACCGAAAACGCTTTTTCAGGTTTAGACACCAAAAGCAGTTGGTCAGGTTTAGACACTGAAAGCGCTTTGTCAGGTTTATACACCAAAACGCTTGGTCAGGTTTAGACACCGAAACCGCTTTGTCAGGTTTAGACACCAAAACGCTTGGTCAGGTTTAGACACTGAAAGCGCTTTGTCAGGTTTAGACACTGAAAGCGCTTTGTCAGGTTTAGACACCAAAAGCGCTTTGTCAGGTTTAGACACTGAAAGCGCTTTGTCAGGTTTAGACACCAAAACGCTTGGTCAGGTTTAGACACCAAAACGCTTGGTCAGGTTTAGACACTGAAAGCGCTTTGTCAGGTTTAGACACCAAAAGTGCTTTGTCAGATTTAGACACCGAAAACACTTGGTCAGGTTGTTTAGACACCGAAAGCACTTGGTCAGGTTTAGACACTGAAAGCGCTTTGTCAGATTTAGACAACAAAACGCTTGGTCATGTTTAGACACCGAAACCGCTTTGTCAGGTTTAGACACCGAAACCGCTTGGTTAGAGTTAGTTGAAATATGACACTAAGGGGTCTTGACCATCCATATGTGACGACTTTGGAGTGAGAACAGGTTGTTCACAGGCACTAGCTAGGAGCTAACTTTTAGGGGTAACTCACTGTTAAAATCTACAGTTCTGCTTTCACACCATGTTGGCATCTTGCTAGCACACACATTGCGAGCATAATGCTAACGTGTCAGGGTAAACAATGTTCAGTGATACAAGCTAACACATTAGCCCTCACTAACGCGCTCTGTGCTAACATGATGAACATATGTTACTGAACTTTAACTCACCAGGTGTGTTGGTGTGTTTCATCTGCCAGGTGTCAATGTGACAGGTGCCGCACCCAGACAGGCGTGGTACGGTGGCCCTGCAGGGACATCAGGTGGGACACAAACACAAAATCACCTGTGACATGGTTTAAAAATGCTTATTTCAAATGTGACCCTGTTATCTTTGTTATGGTTCATCTGAAGGTGTCATGTGACTGTTGTTGTGTTGTAGCTCCGCCTCCGTACAGAGCGTACACCACCCTGCGAGTTCCCTCGCAGCTCGGCGCTCAGCTCACCGAGAAACGAGGGTCAGCCGACAGTCTGGTGGAGGCGGTGAGGAAGCATTAATTGGTTATATTGATCAGCACCTGTCGGTCTGTCGTCTCTGACTCTATTTCTCTCCGCAGGTTCTGATCTCGGAGGGTCTCGGTCTTTACGCTCGGGATCCAAAGTTTGTGGCGTTTGCGAAGCGGGAGATCGCAGACGCGTGTCACATGACCGTGGACGAGATGGAGTCGGCCGCCAGCGACCTGCTCGGCACGGGGAGCCACGGTATCCTCGGCAACGCTGCCGTCGACCCCGCCGCACTCTATAGTGACGAGGAGCCAATCAGGATGGGCCGCGAGGAGGACGAGCTGGCGGACGAGATGACCTGTGTGACATCATTCTGATGCTCTGGACCAATTAGGGATAAGACTGCGTCATCAATGATTGACAAGGCATTTGACCAATAAGATGCATGACACAGGGAGGCGGGGTTTAATCGAAGTAACGTGTCTGGCAAGATTTTGACCAATGGGGAGTGTAGAGGGAGGTTAATTTAGTGGTTTAATGGACTGATTTTAGGAGGAATGTTGGAAAGGTTAAGAAAGGACGAAGAGAAAGAAGGAGAGAACGTTTGAGAGACAAAAGATGAAACATTTAGGAGGTAAAGAAGGAAGGAGAAAGGTTGAGACACAAAGCATAACATTTTAACGGGAAACGTTCAGAAGGAGTAAACGGAGGATGTAGGTATCAGAAGGGAAGAGGAGGAGGAGTAAACAAAAGTAAAGAAGGCGTCGAAGAGAGAAGGAAATACTGTAGAAGAAGAAAAAGAGAGTCAAGAAGTGACGAAGGAGGAAGGAAAAGGAAGAAGACGAGCACGGACATTTTCAGAATCAACTCGTGGAAAAACGACCAGCAGAGTGTGAGTAAGCGCTGTCGTGTCGTCACGGTGACACGTCACATCAGCGATCTACCAGTGGACAGAATCACACTTTACCCACAATGCATTACTGACTGTTTTTTACACGGCTGTGCTGTCGGGAAGCGGGACACAGATTAGGAAACATGTTTCTAACATTAAGTTAAGATTCTGTTTCCTGTTTGAAGTCCGTGGACGGCGTGAATTATGCTCCGCCCTTCCTACCTCCTCAGAGGCGTCCGGTGGGATTCTGTCAGCTTCGATCTGCTTTCAGATGTTTCACAGGTTTTTATATCTCACGTGTTTTAATGCTGTTAGTGTGCTGAAGTCCTGCTCTGTGGCTCGTCGCGCCGCTCGGAGGATTTTACTGCTCATATTTCATTAATGTGTATTTTTATTCTCAAACTTTCAGCCGTCTACAATCAGACGATGAACTGAAAAGACTTTTTAGTCTCTGTTGGTTTTTTTATCGCACCGGTTTGTTCAGTGTGGTCAACGTGTCTTTTTTTAAATGTTTGCTATTTTTTATTCTGACACAGAACTCGATGTTTTGTCTTGTCTGAATTGTTGTGTGTTTCCGTCATCTTTTAGTTTCCCAGCAGTTAAGGGCTTTTCAATCCCACGCCTGGATCCCCTCCCAAAACCCTTTGAAGACGTTGAGAACCTCCACGTTCAGCTCCGTCTTGACCTTCGTTTACCTCAAATAAAGACTGAAGACAAGCTGCTGTTTGACTCTGTGTTCTTTTTCTCTGTTGTTCAGTCTTTGCAGAAGTGTTTGGGCAACACGTTCTCACTCCTGACACGTCACATATTGATGCTTGGTCAAGGCCCTTTGGCGTCGCTTTTTAACGCCCTGGGTATCCCTTTAGCCTCATTTTTAGACGATTAAGTCTCCGCGGTCAAGTTAGCAACGCTTAGCAACAGCAAATATGCAACGTCTGGTTAGACTTTAAGAAGAAAATCCTAGCATTTTGAAACATCGGCATTTTGAAACGGCACGTTATTAAAGTTAAGATCATAGTTTGGGTTAAAATACCTACGTACGTCAGTTAACATGTAACTTAGCTTACGTCACCAAGACATATATTTAATGTTGACTTTTTGTTTCACACGGGACATGAACCCCGGTCTCCTGGTTCAAAGTCGGGGTTCTGAAATTGCAGACATTTCAAGGTAAACGGGTTTCCAGATTTGCTGTCCAAGCTCTTCTGAAGAAGCACAAATGAACGGGCAACCTTGAGCTGCAGAAAACAGCGGGACCCTGGTCCACCATCTACTGTCCGGAGAGGTATGGTCAGGAGTGGCCTTCATGGAAGACTTGACAAGGCCAAACGATTCAACCATGCATGTAAACAGTATTCTTAATAATAACACAATGTTGTCTGATCTTGTTGGATGTGGAAAGTTAGACTGTGTTTCATGACCAACTTCAAAGAAGAAGTTGTTCTCTAGCCTCTCATGTAATATTTGGTGTGACCACCCTTTGCTTTTAAAATAGCATCAGTTCTTCCAGGTGCACTTGCACAAAGTCAGGGATTTTTTAGGTTTATCGTCACCTGTTTGATTAATTAATTATACAGATGCTAATGATCACCAATTCAACATGTAGGTTTAAACACAATCATTACCTGAAACACAAAACAGCTTGGGGAGGAATTCAACTGGGTGAGGAACAGACAAACCCAACAGCTCTCCCATGTCTGTTCTCTGCATAGATAATATATACATGGTGATATGATGCAAGAAACTGCCTCCCTGATCTGTGTAGTGGTTCCATGGTGTAATGGTTAGCACTCTGGACCTTGAATCCAGTGATCCGAGTTCAAATCTCGGTGAAACCTGTCTTTAGGCAGGAGTCACTTAATTTGGTCATCGCTGTCAGTGAGCTCGTCGCTGTTTTCCTCCACCTGTTTGCTGCTCAATGGAGCGCTTGTTGGGCAGAGATGTTTACCCTTCCAAATAACGTTAAGCCCAGTTTCACAGCATCGTCCATAGACCCCTTTTTCGGCCTCTCCGCAGCACAGAAACAGCCCTAGTCAAGGTCACTAATGACCTACTAATGGCTGCTGACTCAGGTCTTCTTACCATACTGATCCTTCTCGATTTAACTGCTGCCTTTGATACAATCTCTATACAATATCCTCCTGGACCGTCTAGCTTCCATTGGTATCATCAACACATCACTGAACTGGTTCACATCATACCTGTCTGGCCGCACTCAGTTTGTACAACTTAAAAATGTTCGATCACAACTCTCCCCTGTCACCAATGGTGTTCCCCAGGGATCATTCCCGGGTCCCCTCCTTTTTATAATTTATCTACTTCCCCTTGGTTCTATTCTCAGGAAATATAATATCCAATTTCACTGCTATGCCGATGACACCCAGCTCTACTTGTCCACCAAACCTACGTCTCTGCTCCCTCCGTCTTCTCTAATTGACTGCTTAGATGAAGTTAAAACCTGGTTCACTCAAAACTTCCTCAAACTAAACGGTGATAAAACTGAAATTCTCCTTGTTGGCTCCAAATCCACCCTAGCAAAATGTCCAAACTTTGCTGCCCGTATTCTCACCAGAACCCCAGTCTCTGAACACATTACTCCACTTCTAACACAACTGTTGTGGCTCCCTGTCAAATTCTGTATTGATTTTAAAATTCTACTCCTCACCTTCAAAGCTCTCCATAATTTTGCTCCTCCTTATCTCTTTGAACTCCTTCAGCCCTACGCCCCATCCCGAACTCTCCGATCCTATTCTTCCTCACTACTTTCCATTCCTTCTGCCTGCATGTCCACTATGGGGTTCAGAGCCTTCAGCTATTGTGCGCCTCACCTTTGAAACTCCCTCCCTCTATGCATCCGTACGACTGAGTCCCTGCCCTTCTCGGTATGACCTCATGGCGCAACGGTAGTGCGTCTGACTCCAGATCAGAAGGTTGCGTGTTCAAATCACATTGGGGTCATATTTCTCTATTTCCGTGCTGTTCATACTATGTCATATTGTATATACTGTATACCAATACACCTACCTCACGTCATAGGTCTTATTTATTTTTTCCAGCATCCTTTGCACTATGCTCCATCACACTGTGTACATGTGTACATGTATGCATGTATGTGTATGTGTACCTGTATATCATCCATCCACCTTCAACATGTACATAATGATATAATCTGTAAGGTGTCTTTGAGTGCTATGAAAGGCGCCCACAAATAAAATGTATTATTATGATTATTATTATTGTTTGTGAAGGTTCTCAGTCATCCAGGTCATAGTTCTCCAACGAAGGTTAAAATCAAGGGCAACTGGACTTGGTTGAAGATACTGGAAGACGTTTCGTCCCTCATCCAAAGGACTTCTTCAGTTCTGACTGACTGGCAGGGAAACTCAGCTATTTAACCTCAGTGGGGTCGTTATCCCGGGTCATCGATACCGCTGGTTCGTTAGTGTTCCTTGTTGTGAGAACGGTCACACTAGAGTCTACAGAGTTGCATAAACTCTGATCTGACTGTTCAGGCTGAGGTTGCATTTCAAAATATCTGACTCGTATCTGATTTGGCCAAAATCTGAACTGGAGAGATCAGATTCAACGTGACTTGGGCTGTTCACACTGTGATAAACAAATCTGATCTGAGTCACATGTGAGCAGAACAATGTGATCACTTTGGCCGGCAGCCAGAACACAGCCTGAACATGTGTTCTGTTATAATGAAACACTCTCACTAATGCGTTTTAGTGCTTACTTAATATAAAAGGTTAAACTGTGTTGGTGTAACTTCACAACAACAGAAAAGAATTTCATCTTTGACTCACAGCACATAACAGCAGAGACTTTGGAGAGCACGCTAACTGTGATCTAAACAGAACATTACTCTGATTTATTAGTGGTGATGAATGAGACAAACACAGAAGATCTTCAGCTCTGTTCAGACAACATGGGTCTTTATGAAGCTCAACATGGAGCCAACAGGTGTTGGTACTTTACCTGGTTCCCTCCTACTGCTTCAGGACGTCTTGGTTGAGTGGGATCAGTTCTTCTGCAACATCAAAACATTTCACCCACTGTTTACCGTGATACAACATATGATCTACTTTCACAGTTTGGGCTCTTCTTCTAAAATTGTAGGAAACTGTGCTGATGAAGACAATGATGGTCAGCTGAGCAGATATTATGGTGTATGGGGCGCCAAATGTAAAAAATCAGATACAACTATAAAGGTGATAATTTCCTAAATCTAAATGTTAAATCTAAATGCTTAATTTAAATGTTAAATCTAAATGCTTAATTTAAATGTTAAATCTAAATGATAAATCTAAATCTAAATATTAACTCTAAATGATAAATCTAAATCTAACTGCTTAATCTAAATGCTTAATTTAAATGTTAAATCTAAATGATAAATCTAAATCTAAATATTAATTCTAAATGTTAAATCTAAATGATAAATCTAAATCTAAATATTAATTCTAAATGTTAAATCTAAATGATAAATCTAAATCTAAATATTAAATCTAAATGATAAATCTAAATCTAACTGCTTAATCTACATGCTTAATTTAAATGTTAAATCTAAATGATAAATCTAAATGCTTAATCTAAATGTTAAATCTAAATGATAAATCTAAATCTAAATATTAATTATTAATGTTTAATCGAAATGCTAAATCTAAATATTATATCTAAATCTAAATGTTAAATCTGTATATAAAATTCTATCTGAATTTTTACATTTGGTGCCCCATATTAGTGAGCTAGCTGATTAGCTGAGTTGTTAGCTCAGAAACAGACCTGGGTTGCTGCTGTTGCTCCGACTGTTGTTCCGTCCGTTGTTGCTGTTGTTGCTCCTGAATTTAAATGACGTAAGATTAGCACATGTACAATTAATGCATTGCATCAGATGTGGGGAAAGCCCAGAGAGAGTCAGAGGATCACCAAAATAAAACTCACTTGGACTAAAGTGGACCAATAAAGACAAATAAAGCTCAACAGGTGCTGAATATTTACCTGGTTTTCTGCTGCTCTGAGTGTCGGCCGAGTGGAATCTTCTTTAATCAGATTTTTAGCAACATCAAAACAGCCTTCCCACTGTTCGCTTCGTATTTTGTTCTCGACTTTTTCAGTCAAAGCGTCTTTCGCTGCTTTTGTCAAAACCTCTTTCAGCACATTTTTCTCCTCGTCCAAAATCACTTTGAGATATAGATTTTTTCTGTTGCAGCACGCTGAATTCTTAAAACAATGCTTTCCAAACGATGACATTAAGGCAGCCGCACAAAGGGTACCAAAGAGAAGAGAGATACCAATAATCTGAAAAAGAGGCAATAAAAGTGGTTTTATTATCTCCACAGAAACTGAGAAACAGCATTTTACTCCAGTTACCAGATCATCAGTTTATTGTCTCAGGCTGGTGCACCTTTAGAAACTTCTGACGCAACAAATGTAAAATATGATAATGATTTTTCAGAAAGCCTCGTTCCGCAGCCTTGAACCCACTAACCACAACACTGCATCCTGTGCACGTGCAGCACAAGGCACATCTTGAATCAAACATTAGCTCTTGATAACAACACAATAAAATAAAAGAATAACACGAGCTGACTGGCATGATGCGTATAAAACAAGAGAAACTCACCCAGGACTCGTTCTTCAGTTCAGTGATGATTTGTTGTTCCTCAGCTGTGATTTCATTCTTGGCTTTGCAGGCTAAATATTTCTGTTTGTTAGACTGATCATTTTGACAGCAAACATACCAGTGCCCATCGATTAACACAGATACAACCCACAGCAGACCGATGAAAGCCGCCTTGATAATGTGATAAAATAAAACCCAGAAAAACTTGCACGTATACGTCCAGGTTCTCTGAAATGTCCTGTCCGTCCAGAGTTGTAAAACAAATACAATAAAAAACGGCATAGTCATGTAAAAATCGCAGTCACGAGTTGGTTTTTTGCACGAGCACTGCAAATCCTTGTCAAGCACATTATTGTGAATAAAAATCACAATGATCGCGACGTAGGTGCTGAGTTGTTTGAGAGGGAATTTTGACCAAATGTTCTTCATCTTTGGTGCAAAGTTCCGATCTGCTGAGAGCTGCTGCTTGTAACCTCTTAATATACTTACAGGAAACCACGTTTCCTGTTCATGGCAGGAAGAAAGCGGCAGCACGGTTCAGGACCTGCAAGTACTCACATGAGATTTCACTTGTTGAGTTTTCTGGTTTTCTGTAGTCTGTAGAACTGGAAACCTGCTTCTTCTGGTAGTTTTACCTTCTTCTTTTCTTTCATCTTACTAAACTCAGTGGTGTGTAGAGTACTGAAAATCTTTATTAAAGTGAAAGTAAAAGTTACCATTAGACAAATTTACTCAAGTAAATGTACATTAGAGATGCTCCAAGGCCAAGTCAACACTTTGAACTTGTTGTGTTCCTCAAACCACTCCTGAACTACTTTTGCTTTGTGGCAGGGAGCATTATTCTGCTGAAAGGGGCCACTGCCATCAGGGAATACCGTTTCCATGAAAGGTATCACTAAAAACAGTATTCCCAGCAGGATAATGCTCCCTGCCGTAAAGCAAAAGTGGTTCAAGAATGGTTTGTGGCCTCCAAATTCACCAGATCTCAATCCAGATCTAAATCTGTGGGATGTGTCGGACAAACAAGTCCGATCCATGGAAGCGTCTCCTCGTTATTTACAGGACTTAAAGGATCTGCTGCCAGATACCACAGCACACCTTCACAGGTCTAGTGGAGTCCATGTCTCGACAGGTCAGGGTTGTTCTGATCGGTGTATGTTGCTATGTATAGCATCATTTTATTATTATTGTTGTAAAAACTTTAAATTGTTTGCTCATTTTGAGTAAGTCCATGAAACGACTGTAGTAGTAGTAGTAGTAGTATACTTTATTGTCCTCGAAAGGAAATTTGTTTTGGACTGCATGGTTGCTGCATGTACATAGAAATATACAATATACAAGTATAAAAAGTATAAAAAGAGGAAAGACAATTAATTTAAAGATTTAAAATTAATAAGATAGACTGTTATTCAACATACGTGTAGACACAGGAACAAAAGAATTTTTATACCGGTTTAGTTTGCACAGTGGAACTGATACTGACATCCACTGTGTGATGGTTGGCCTAATGTCAGAGCTAATCACACAACCACCCAGACCCTCCACAAACACATCAACACACGCTTCCGATCTCTCACAAACACACAGAGCGAGGGCCCGAGCCTCGGGGGGCCGGGGCACCAACGAGAAGGGAGAACCCCATTGTATACCAGGGTTGTGCCCGGCAGTCATTTTATTCTTGTTCAGGGCAGATTTGGGGACTGGGGGAAGGATCGTCCACCTCTCAGCTCCCAATCTGGGTGTTTGGAATACTGTTTTTAGTGATACCTTTCATGGAAACGGTATTCCCTGATGGCAGTGGCCCCTTGCAGCAGGATAATGCTCCCTGCCACAAAGCAAAAGTTGTTCAGGAGTGGTCTGAGGAACACAACAAGTTCAAAGTGTTGACTTGGCCTTGGAGCATCTCTGGGATGTGCTGGAAGAAGTCCGATACATGGAGGCCCCACCTCACAACTTACAGGACTTAAAGGATCTGCGGCTGACACTTCAGAGGTCTGGCGGAGTCCATGCCTCGACGGGTCAGGACTGTCTTGGGCACGGGCGTCAGTTTATGTTGAAAAGTGGTGGGGACAAAAGATCAGATGAAAAAAAATGACAGCAGGACGGGAAAAATATTGATTAACGGCGCATCAAAAATGGGCATAGCGTAGGCCAGTCGACAACACGACAAAACTCAGCATAAAACACTCAACAATGTCGACTGCATTATGTAACAGTCCATCACATCCACCCCTGCAACACCAGCTCAACCGAACAGTGCCAAAGCACCATACTGTAGAAAACAGCTACGCGTTAAGTCAACCCAGTGATTACAATGAAATCCATTACATATGTAAGGAAAACACACCATAAACATACAACGCAACATATCTGCATCAAATAACACCAGATAGAACAGGCTATTGATTTGCAACCCACAGAGAATGCAGTGCAGTCAGTCAACCAAATCCACAAAATGTGAACTCCTCCTCTGTCATCGCAGCGTAACCACCATAAAGTGCCGTGAAATAAATACTTTCATTATTTATGCCACAAAAAAAAAAACACACCAAAATCCAAACTATTTCAGCTACAGGATGCAGGCCCTCTCTCTCACGCACACACACACAAAGCCAATTCTTTTTTATTGATCTGTAAATTACTTAATCGGCTACAATTAACTAAATCTATCACAGTGCAAATATGCTATATAAAAATTCCCCTACCTGTACCATTGATCAACATCTATGGAAGGGGATTAGGGCCACATGTGAATTTTTTTGTGAAAAATGTGAGTTCTGAGAAAAAATGTGACTTTCACATGGGACCCTTACAGATACCCATGCTTCTGACTTTGTTCTCAGAATTCTGACTTTTTTAATGTAGAGTTCAGTATTACATTACATTTATTCAATTAGCTGACGCTTTTACCCAAAGCAACTTACAATTGCTATACATGTCAGAGGTCGCACTAGGGGTTAAGTGTCTTGCTCAGGGACACAATGGTGGATGTCTCACAGGGGGAATTGAACCCAGGTCTCCCACACCAAATGCATCTTATCTATGCGCCACCACCCCTTATATATGACTGACATTGGTCAGTAGCCAATCACGTCAGGGTAAGTATGTAGGTTCCTCCTCATTCCTTACGATGATCGAATACAACTCATGTCAATCAAATATTTGAGGGAGTACACAGCAAAGTTTATAAAAAAATATTATTTGTGTTTTTAATCATAAAATGAGAGTTAGTTAGTTGATGTGATATGAACTATGAGCTCTTACTAGTATTTATTGCTGCTCTTACTAGTATGTACTGTCAGTTGTAGATCTGTAGTTGATGCTCTTTTGAACAGAAATCCTGGTCATCGGGTCCCAGCAGATGGCAAATCAAATACTGCCATCTGCTGGTTCCCTAGTAAATCACATTAAGCCTGTTGCAAAGAACCTTGGTGTTTGGTTTGATAGTAATTTAAATTTCGAGCAGCACACCACAAAGCTTGTTCAATCATGTTTTTATCAACTTAGAAATATAGCAAAAATTCGATCTATGTTAACTTTTAAGGACACCGAGACCATTTTACACGCCTTCATCTCATCACGCCTGGATTATTGCAACAGCCTTTTCACCCGTTTAACCCAAAAATCTATTGATCGACTCCAGACTGTCCAGAACTCAGCTGCCAGGCTTTTAACCAGAACAAAGAAATATGACCACATTACTCCTATTTTAGCTTCATTACACTGGCTCCCAGTATGTTTTAGAATTGACTTTAAAATTCTATTGATCACTTTTAAAGCTCTTCATGGCCTCTCGCCTTGTTATATTTCTGACCTTTTAGTCCCATACACACCAGCACGTACCTTGAGATCCTCGGGCAGAGGTCTGTTGTCTGTTCCAGAGTCTCGACTGAAAACTAAAGGGGACAGAGCGTTTGCTGTCAGGGCCCCGAGGCTCTGGAACAGCCTGCCCGAGGAAATCAGGTCGGCTGAGTCAGTGAACTCTTTTAAGTCCCTTCTTAAAACATACTTTTATAGGAGAGCTTTTCCCGATCTTATTTGACTTTATTTTATCCCTTTTATTTTATTCTATTTTACTAATTTTATATTAATTTTTCATGCTCTTATCTTGTTTTTTTTTGTATTATTCTTTACACTTGTTAAAGCACTTTGTAACTTGTTTTTGAAAAGTGCTCTACAAATAAGGATTATTATTATTATTATTATTGATGCTTGTATGTTGTTCCTCAAATGTAAGTCGCTTTGGATAAAAGCTTCTGCCAAATGAGTAAATGTAAATGTAAGTTTTACAATATTTTCAATCCAAATCCTGCCAAATGTTGACAAAAGCAGCCCACATTATATCTACCAGCCCAATGTAATAAAAAGTAGTCCAATATGGCAACACTGCACAGGATAACCAATTGTAGAAAAATACAGTTGCTAAACATTTAACCTGCAGTAACCTAATTTACAGCTACACAAACTGCACAATGTCCAAGAGGAAGAAGGGAGAAGACATTAGAAACTACCTAGAAGGCCTACTGTAAAATCCAGCAATAAGAGGCACTTAATATGTTTGCAAAACTAGCTATTCTAGCTAACTAGCTAATCAGTCCATCTAATCAACGTTACATTATGATTTAACAGTACGCCTGCCGATTACCTCTATTATCTAATGAACAAGAACAGTTTTGTTGCTTAGCCGTAGTTGAGTGTAATCTGTAAAGTCCTGGGTTAACATTTTTTCACAATTTTGCATTAGAATCAGCAGCAGCAAGTTTCAACTCCAGGAGAGGATGGAGAGCAGGAGAAAAAGCTGAGACATTTATAAGCCAAAATCAATAAATGTCCAACTATCCAGTGTTTTGGCAAGGGCACAACAGGAGGTCAGGTCAAGGTTACTAAAAATATAAAGCTCTGTTGAGTACTTGGCCCAACAAGGCCTAGCTTTAAGAGGGCATGGAAATGAAGAGGGGAGCTTCCACTACCTTCTCCTTCTTAAGGCAGAGGGTGATCCTGCACTTGGACACTGGTTGAAACGGAACCACAGCTACACCAGCCCTGTCCTTCAAAAAGAAATGCTAAGTTTAATGAGCATCAAATTCACAACATTGCAGAGGAAATCCTGGCTTTACAGTGGTCCAATATTAATGGAACACAGGACGATAGTGGCACAGAGCAGGAGTCCCTCTGTCTCCGCTAAGTTGATTCCGACTTGGAACCACGAAAGGAATTCATTGTCATCTACGAAACTTCTTCCACCACCAAGATTGTCTCTGACGTGCTACCCCGCCTGAACCCACCCCTTTCAGGACTGCGTGACCAGACCTATGCTGGAGCAGCCAATATGCGAGGACATCTGTCAGGAGTACAGGCTCACATCAGAAAAGAACAGCCACTTGCTGTTTATGTTCACTGTGGGCCTCACTGCGTCAACCTGGTCACGCAAGCAGCCTGCTCAACCGCACCGATTGTGAGGGATGCA